GTTCATCGGCTAATCGGCAACATCGATAGACCCGATCAATGGACAGCCTAGACAAGCTTTGGGCGGTTTGCACGAAAACTCGCCCTCGATAATTCTTGTCCAGGCCCTTTCAAGATTTTGAATATCGGTGAGTTTCTAGGAGAAACCGGTACGTCAAAAGATGTGACATGCCGAAATCCTATGGTCAACATCAACGAGGACATCATCTTTTAAGTAGGAGAGTCTATAACATCTCGAAATTACATGTGAATGAGAGAACTGATATTAAAAAAAATAATTAACGAAAAATATTTTCATTGTCTAGAAAATGTATAGGCTCAACATATTGTCGATAATGAAAATATTTTTCATTAATTAATTATTTCAATCAATACAAACGATTATATTTAGGAAAATATTTTTTTAGTCATTCGTTTTCCGTGGAACTAACGGAGAGTGATATATATGTTGAGTCGACACTTATTCTTATAATTATTCACAATAGTTCTTTTAGGAGCTTAATCCATGTGAATCGGCCCCGACTATTCTTAAAAGGACTGCTTGCCCAGGGAAAATTACCAAAAAAAAGGTCCTAAAACTATTGTATTTGTATCAATTTAGTTTTAAACCTTTCAATTATGCCAATTGAGTCCTCGACCTTTTCTTATTTTATCAATTGAGTCCATCTGGTTAATTTTGGCCGAAAATTGCTGACGTGGATAATGACACAAACAGTCCTTTAACTTTGGCCCAATGTGTAATGTGGTCCCTGAACTTTTAATTTATTCAATGTAGTCCCTAAACTGTAACTTAATGTTCACTGTGGTCCTTGGACTTTTGGTACATGTTCAATGTAGTCTTTGAACTATATGAAAATGTTCAATACAGTTCAGAGAATAAATTGAACATAGATCAAAAGTTTAGATATGACATTGAACAAATTAAAAGTTCAGGGATCACATTGCACGTTGGGTTGTAATTCAGGGACCATATTGAACATTTTCAAAGTTCATGAACCACATTGCTCATTGGACCAAAGTTCAGGAATTGTTTGTATCATTTTCCTAGATCGAATCCACTTAAGGGCGAATAAAATAAGCAAGAAATAAAAAAAAATGTGACGAGACCCAATAATATATTAGCGTTGTAATTTGTGTATATTTAACTGACGACAAATTGGAAGCCGTACTCCATCCGTGATGAATAATAGCCTGTGAATTTAATAAACAACCCTTAAAAGCCCACTTGTTCTTTTATATATTTAATTTTCGTACATTTGATTCGACTTTTTGCCTCGAATACCTATGTTAATGCATATAAACCTTCCTGCCAGCATACATCGAATAAGACTCTCTACCAACGGAGCAAAGGATGTGATGCCGATGAAAATACTTCGAATGACGGGACATGTCACATCAAATATTCAATGAATCTTTCATGATTATTGTCAAAACAAGAGACCAGCGATAATGATTGGAGCACGCTCATCGTGTAATTTCAATTTCTATATAAACGATCGATTAGGCAGCGGCATACCATCTCAAAAAAAGCCTCGGCTTGCCATGCCGAAGAAGTTCATTGGCTAGTCGGCAATATCGAAAGACCTGATCAATGGACATGTCTAGATGAGCTCTGGGCAATTTGCACGAAAACTCGCCCTCGATAATTCTTGTCCAGGTCCCTTCATCACCTCAAAAGGGGAGTACCCTTGGGCAGTGCGGGTCGACATTAACCAGGACATCATTTTTTTAACTAGGAGGTATTGTAACATCTCGAAATCCCACACAGATGAGAAAAACGATATTAAGTGATATACATGTCGAGTCGACACTTATTCTTATATTTACTCGCAATACTTCTTTTGGGAGCTTAATCCAAATGAACCAGCTCTGGCTATTTTCAAAGCGACTGCTTGTCTACACATGTCTATCTCAAAAAAGTTCGAAATAGGACCAGCCCCACACTACCCGACCGCCCTAGAGTCACTGTCTATATGACTCCAAGCCTGCTCACATGATGGACGAGCACTGTCGCCAAGGTCATAATCAACGTCTAAAGACTCTAAGCATCAAACCCTTTTCTTAATCGACCCAAAAATAAAAAAAAATAAAAACAATTAATGCATCCAATCTAAGGTAGAAAAGTCACTCTTAAAATCAGCAAACTTACATTGGTGATTCTGATTTCTCAACATACATCCACATAAAATTAAGGATCCAACGCCATAGCATGGTCTGGATTCCAAGTAATTTCTTCCTTTTGGTGTAGACCTCGAGATCAGAGGCCTCGCCGCAGGTGCAAATCGTGCATAAAAACTTGCCTCCATCGAGCGACATGTAAGTGCGAGTACATAAAAAAAGACGCTATAAATATTCCGAAAAAAGCTATACGGACAGAAAAACTTGCATTTGTCACAATTCATACCAATTGACAGAATTATTTGAATTCCGATGTAAAAGATTTATAGACGGATTTATCAATTTGGATTATATGTCCAAATGAATTCCTTCTTGATTAAAAGGAAAGGGAATTCCTATGACTCCAACAAACAAAATAAACAGCACTAATACAACCATGAAAAATGGCATGTTATTGTCCGATTCGTGAGGATAAGAGAAAGTATTCCTAGTGCCAAAATGGGTAATGGTAATAAAAGACTTGCACATCAAAGTCTCGATCGCTTCACCAGCTCATCAACTGATTTCTCGGCTGACTCGAACTGGGCGTCGACGCGGATCGAAATCGAATCCATGTGAGGGTTATGAACCTAACCCAACCTCCAGGACCATTAATAGCATCGATTAAGAATCGACTCGACTAATTAATTACACGCAACATACATTGAACTGCACATCCGCAGGCTGGCTTCCCAGATATGGACAGAGACCAGACTTGCTTAATTAACAACAACCTAGGATGATCTTAGCTTTATCCTTGTTATAGTTTCGTCACCTGGGCGTGTGTCTACGGAGAGATGACGCAAGACCCTCTTTTGACCTCTAAAATTGGGCTCGAATCTGTTCCTATAGTAGAACCAACTTTCGAATATAGTACCCTTCTCCATATTTACAAAAAAAAGTAAATTTTTTTTTCTTATTACTTTTTTTTTTGAATTCTATTATGGTAACCAAACTCTTATAATTCGCTAAGTCAAAGCGGTTAGATAAATGTATGATCGTTTGTATAACTCGAAATAATTAATTAATGAAAAATTTCTTTCTTTCCATTATTGACAAAAATTTTGTCTAAAGATTTTCGTGAATAGTAAAAAGAAAATCGTTCGTTCATTTTTTATAATTGGTATAAAAGATTGGTTTCAAGAATTTTTTTTTTCAAATCATTTATTTTCCGCAAAACAAACGGAGCCGCCTAATGCTTTTTCGACTCTCTTCTAACACAATCTTAGTCGATTCAAGCCGACACTAGAGGCTATTTAAGCTCGAGTCAAGTTAAAAGTCCAACAACCCACTTCGATAATTTACATAAGTTATTTGGGTTGTTTTTCTTTATACCCATCGGTACATAACTATGTGAAAATCACTCGACTTCTTATATTTTCTCTTTACCCTAACAATCGAGTAAATTGAACATATCCGGTGATCCGAATCGATCAATCAAGTCATCTCGATCTAGCTCGACTCATTCGCGCGCCCGGCCTTAAACTACTCTGGAGTCATGCTACTGGCGATGTTACGTCGTGTCACGTTGATCGTCATCATCGCAAACTCGGGGCGAGTGGCGCGAACCGTAATTTAAGTGAAAGGGCAGGGGTAGATGGTCAGCCGGCCCAACCTAGCTCCCGAAACTGGCCGTTTTGCCGCGTCACTCTCCTCGCGAGGCACTCAACTGGACGGCGTGCATGCTCTCTCTCGAATGTTTGCTCACGTTTGTTTTCGCCTTTGCGGGCAAGTGAGAGAAAAATAAAAACATTAAACTTCTTCTCTTTTTTTTTTTTGACCTTTTTCTTCTGGACCCTCCTCCTTTCGGATTTTTTTTAAAAAAAGAAAAAATCACGCGAGTCTCGTCGGAGATGAAAAGTCTGATTTCGTAATCGGCTAAAACGCACGGTTAGTTACAATCGATTCGCTAGTATTCTGTGTACATGGAACCGGCGTGAAAATTATCTTGCTTGCACCCAATCCACGACGGGCCAAATGAAATCCGATGTTGGGTCTGATAGATTCGGTGCGAGGCCCACGTGCATATTTTGTGTAACCTCTCTTAGAAACTCGGCGCTTCGAATCTCGACATCATTGCATGCAGGACTAACATCGCATACACGATCGATCTGCGCGACTTTTCTCTACAGATCCGCATCCCTTGATGTCTAGACGACCGGTTAGATATTTTGCTAAAAATCAAGCTACTAATATCACGACGCGAGATATGTTAAAAACAAAAAAGTGCAATGCAGCTCGAGATCTAGAATATCAGTGTAATTCTCAGGAATCAATACCGTTGCATACAATGGTAGTTATATGTATAATCGATGGATCCTATCATCTCTAACCCTCCTATGCTCCGACACCCGGTAAGGTACGAGTCAAAATTCGGGCGGGCGATTCGGATAAGGTTTCCGAGAAATCCAAATACGGGTCAGCGGGTTTGGATTTGGATTTGGATTAGGATTAGGATTAGGATTAATTACTGAATGGGACGTAGCGAGAAAGAAGGGGGCTCACGTTTTAAGAAGCGGAAGCTTAAACACAAATCAGTTTTAATTAAATTGAACGTTTTTTTTATATATTTTTCCTCTCTAATTCGTGGTTTTTTCATGAATATATTTTTTTTTTGTAGATAATGAAGGGGATATTTAGATAAGAGATTTTTTTTTTTTTGACGAGGGGAGTTAGTTACGAGGGAGGAGAGTCGTAACCCCTCTTTTTCACTCCCGTCGGATTTCGCCCTCCCAACTGAAAACTCCATCTCTCTCTCTCTCTCTCTCTCCTCCGCTTTCTCTCTCTCTCTCTCTCTCTCTCTCTCCTCCGCTTTCTCTCTCTTGTGTACGTATCTCCTATATATATATATATACATATACACACACACTAGCTCGCACTGCACTGCACTGCACTGCACGCAGCTTGCACCGATCAGATCATCACCACCAGAGTCGCAGCGCCGAGGCGTTTCTCTCTCCTCCGCTCCCTCAACCTCTCCCTTTCTCTCTCTAGCTCGCGAAGAGAAGCTGCGTTCTTGGCTCCGGCGAAGAGATGGTGTCGGCTGAAGCGGCTCGGAACGTGGTCGGCATTATCGGTAACCGCTTCTCTCCCGTTTCGTCTATCGTCCTCGCCATCCTGTCCGGCGTTCTCCTTCAGGTTCTCGCGACCCACGACGAGCTCGGCGTCTCGCGCTCGTGCGCGCGCGTGATTTTCCGACGAGATCGCGTTCTTCTTTCGCGCTGCCGTTGGATGTTTTAAGCTACGGCGATCGTGTCCGCTGTTTTTTGTGGCTGTTCGTTTTTTTTTTTCTACTGTTCCTGAAGAGAATGCGATGAGCTCGCTCGGTAGCTAGCTGATCAGTCAAGGCCCCCCACGATTTCATTGTTCTTGCGAGAGTGAGATGGCTCTTCTTATGTACCGACAGTGATAATGTCATTTGGCTCCCCGCAGAAACAAGTACAAAAGCCAAACGAAACAAAAACAAAAGAGAGAAAAGCGAAAGAGAGAGAAGGAAATATAAAGTTGGTGCATGTCTGAATCTGAACAAGTATGAGTTGATGGCCATAGCCTCGTCCCCGCGGCTGACTAATTCAAACTCTGTAACGATATCTTTGTCTGTAGGCTTTCTTTTTTCTTTGTCGTTTTTTGTTCGTGGGGGTGTGTGTTAGGCAGGTGCTATGTGCACCCCTTGACCTGCGAGAAGTCTTCATTGAGTTACGATGGGCCTAGTTTTCCAATAACTGTCGATATCGAGCTAGATCGGATGGAGCCTTCACTAGTCAGGACCTCCTCCCGTTTCTTCGCAAATCATGGGGTCAATAAAATATCTCACTCTGTTGAGATGTCATCCGAGGCAGGTTTTTTTGGTACGATGCGTTTCGACTTTTGTGATGGAATTCGTGGTTTTTCATTCCTGATGATTTCTCTCTCGGAGAGAGAGCTTTATTGACTGTACCTTTGCTGTTTCGCTGGGCAGGGAACGTCATCTCGTTCGGCCTCTTCCTCTCGCCATGGTAAACTTCAGCTCACCCTCTTGCTTATTTTTTTATTTTTATTTTTTGTGGGCCTCATGGGGATCACGTAGATCGTCGTTATTTAATTTCTTTTTTAACATGCGATATTATGCCATCCTGCTTAGTTAGTAATGTAAATTAGAGTGCTTTATAGAAGCAGAGTTATCTCAATTTGTGAGTGTGGCGCATCACAAGGAAAAAAAAAAATTATACGTAAGTGTTAATTCGTTCTTATTTGTGATGCCAAAGAAGAAAAAAGAAAAAAGAAAAAGAAAAAGAAAATCTATTTTAAGTTAATATTCATGAAGATCATCCGATTTGGTGATTATGTCACTCGGTCAAATGACTCGGGACAAAGCTAGGATTGTAGCTTTACAATTATAGCGGTGACCACCGTAGTGTACTCGAATTTGAACTTGCTAGAGATAACCCTTGGATGTTTTTCTAGGTTAAGTAAGGCATTGATGTCACCTGTACAGTGCTCTCAATTACTAAGGTTTCTATATCTGTTGGTTTGCTTTGCAGCCCGACGTTTTATAGAATCATAAAGAACAAGTCGGTGGAGGAATTTCATGTGTATCCTTACCTTGCTACCGTGTTGAACTGCGTCTTCTGGATTATCTATGGCTTGCCCTTTGTCCGTCCTGACAGCATCCTTGTCGTCACCATCAATGGCGTTGGGCTCGTGATGGAGCTCATCTACATATGCATTTTCTTTTTCTATGCTCCAAACAAGGGAAGGGTATGTGCTCGTTATGTATTTGAGCTTTATCCGTTTAATTTTTCTTTGTCTAGGTTCTTCGAGTTATACTTTCAAAACTGTCTTACCGATATCTTTTCTACTTATACCGTGCTATCCGAATGGAATTCTACAGGAATAAAGTGATAAAAGTTCTAGTTATGCATTTCAAAGTTCCGTACAATAATTGGATACATTCTGTCACTAATTCAAATTTATTCAAATAGAACATTGTTGGTATACAATAATCATAGATGCACCATAGTTAGTCTTGTTCTCTCTTCTTCTTTTTTTCCTGAATTTGGCATTTATTTAGTTTGCTGCTCTTGTAAAGTTTTTCTAGTCAAAGATCGGTGATTATGTCCTGTCCTATCTATGTAACACTCATCCATCAAACTGGAATGTGTCACATATCTTAGTTTTCAGTCGATGTACCTTAAGTCAAGGCACTAAGTAATACCGTTTTCTAGACACTCCAATTTCCAAATTTTGTATTGTACAAACACTCATTCCGTCCTAGGCACTTTGACAAATTTCAGAACATTACGATTGACAGCTAATGCTCACTTCTTCTGTTTTTGCAGAAAAAGGTGGTCTATTGTCTCTGCGGGGAAGTTGTCTTCATTGCCGTGGTGTCACTGGTGTTCCTACTGGTTTTTCACGACCACAAGAGAAGAATTCTCGCCTTTGGAATTATCTGCGACGTGTTCAACATCATAATGTACAGCTCACCTCTTATCATCATGGTACGTACACATCCATCCTCCTTCCCTCGTTGTAAACTAAAACCATATTTTATCAGTTCCGGCAAATGCTGATCCTTTCATTGTCTAATTTTGCCTCTTTCTTTTACCTTTGTCTACTGCAGAAAAAAGTGATCACCACAAAGAGTGTGGAGTACATGCCCTTCTATCTCTCGCTAGCCACCTTTCTCAATGGCTGCGTGTGGACTGCATATGCCCTCATCAAGCTCGACGTCTTCATTCTGGTAATTGAAACAAAACTTGAATGTATTTTCAACCCTTTCACTTTCAAAGTCAAGAAGCATGAGAAACGTAAAGAAAAAGCCACATACACGAATAACTTGGGAACAACCCTCCTGCAGATTAGCAATGGTCTCGGGGCACTCCCCGGTGCGGCACAGCTCATCCTCTACGGTTGCTACTTCAGGTCCACGCCGACGCCGCCGAGAGATGAGAAGGTCGACGACCCGAAGGCTTCTCAAATCCAGCTCTCTGTTTCTAATGGACCAGACAGAGTGTAATCCAGGAACATTACCCCCGAGTCCACAATACCCCCCAACTGCTGCTCTCTGTCTAAAAAATCTGGGCACTTGTCTTATGTTTATAGCCACTTTCCGTTTTTCTGCATTAAGCTGGGGCTGAGTTGAGGAAAAAGAACTTGTCGTAGCAGTGAGTAGATGTTAGAGGTTTTTGACTCTTTTCGGAACCTGATGATGGTCACCCGTCGGGTTCGTTGCTTCTTAGCTGTTCCTTTCTTTCCAACTCAAAAGTGAACCAAGGCTTATGTTCGCATTTTGCTCTTTAATGCTTTGACAATTTGTCGGTGGGTTTTTCAACTGGAGGAGGTAACGATGTGGTTGGCCTAACATGTTATCTGTCAAAGTTGCGCATATTATTCTCGTGTTCCCAATTGTCAATGCATCCTTTCGACTCAACCTCATCATGGACTTGGGCCAGAATGATAGAAATCTGATCGTGCGACGAGACCCAGCTCGGGCTGAGCCGCTCAGCCCGACAGTAAACATTCTCTTAGCCCAACACAACCCTCCATACACATCTAGTCAACTGTTCTCGTCTTCGAGGTCAAGCCTTTTTCTCTCAGTTAATTGGGCAAATTTGGGATATGAAACAACAACCAAATATATATATATACAAAATGAACAGAAACATGAGGAAACTTGGAAAAGTAAAAGAACAAAAAGTGCAGGGACAAAGGCACCGCCATCACTAGTCCTCTCGGACGCAATGGTGAAAGGTTGTCGATCCCCCTCCAACTCCGACAAGAGCAGTGGGAAGATGATCGTCACGGTCTCTAAATGTGTAAGTGTGCGCATGCCTGTTTTCGTCATTCTAATAATTAATAAAATCATTCTTTTCTTTTCCTATTGGATACCCTCTCACGTTTCAAAACATACAATTTGCATCTCCCTGACCTAAATAGACGCACTTGCCGGCATATACCCCGAAAACCTACACCCAAACCCCTTTTCCCACTCTCTTTCCCTGCCCTTTCTCTCTCCTCGCACGGCAATGCAACATAATGACAATTGAGAGACACCCTTGCCTGGTGCCCGCGGCCCTCTACAAGCATCGCTGTCTCTATTTAGCAAGGCCATGCTAGCTCGGCCTCGGCCCCTGGCTGGTTACAAGCCTCTGTTACAGGCTACTGAGCCCCGCAAACTATGTAGCACAGCTTGATCTGGCCTCAAGCTCACGTAGCGACCATCGGTGGCCTAAAAAATTAGGTCCGCCACGGCCTCCAAAGGAGCAACGGCGATGTGCACGGCGGAGAGGGGACGTGGCGGTGAGCATTGAACTAAGCAAGCCTCTTAGGTGAGAATAGAGAGCGTAGGTTGGAATTGGGTTTTATTAGGGTGGGGGCAATTTGGAATACAAACGGCAATTTGATATATCATGCGTGGGCAAGGGATGAAACTTAAAGCCCATCGTAAAAAGGGGTATGATAATTATGGGTTTTAAAATGTGAAGAAGGTATCTGGAGTTTGGATGGGGTGAAATTGTTTCATTCATTTTGGACGGAACCAAGGTCTTAAAATAGAGCGCAAGAAAGCCGTAAACAGTTCCAATAGAAGTGAAAACTGAAAAGGATATTTTAAGATCAAACAGTCAATTTTGGTTCCTGTCCTCTGGCTCGTTCCATTTTTGGTTGCTCAGGGGAAAGGGCGAGCGTAATAATCCAGCTTGATACGACATTAATGCATGTACACTACAGCCAGATACGAATATACACTACAGAGGCGGAAGTAGAGATGGATGGTAAAATCTACCGCAAGTTTTCACTTGATCAACTGCAATATTCAATGTTTAGGCACAGCACGCACAAAAAAGAAGAAGAGAGGCTACTATAATCAATGTTTCGGCCAATAGAAGACGAGAAGAGACGGTTATTTCAACGTAAGTAGAGGCCGTAAGGACAGACAGATTTTGGGAGAGGACGACCACCTGTACATTTTCATTCTAGTTATCGATCCAAAGAATTGGACTAAGCAAATGGAGTAGACAGACGAGAAGGATGCATGGTATTACCATATACTAAGACGAGCCTTAAAGGTACAGTCTGGAAATTGATGTTCTGTTGTATATCCTATCTTCATTCTTCAAATGATTCTCTAAAAGCTAGAATAGAGATGTTACCATCCTCACTTTGAGGCCTCATGATATGCGTTGCTTCTTTTTCTCCGGTGTCGAGTGTACCTGCGCTTTGATTCCATAGGTCTTCAACTGAAAGTTCTCGAAGGCATCAGAAATCGCTCCAACCTGTAAACAGGGTGGGCAAACGGGCAAAGTCGTGAAGGATGAAATTCGTGAGAAACAGCTTAGCAATTTAAGCGCTACAGGCGAGTTCACCTACCAGCTCAGGCTTTTTGGCATAAACTCTCACGATCATGTCCTGGTAGGATGTTGGCAGCAAGTGACTAATGCGATCATCTGGTATGGTGAATTTCTCCTCACTCTCGTAATCCTGAGAAACTCAAATCATAAGTTACCAAAGAAGAAATTTACGAAGCCTTCAAATTGGGCAACCACATCCATGCTAGTGCCAACTGAACATGGTCAGCCGTGCATCCTACGTTTAGCTCATAGGCTCAAAATGCCACTACTAATTAGAAATGCTACTGTGCCAATTATTCTAGAAAACTTTTTATTTGATTGGTCATGCATTGGAAGTGGATAAAATTCAGCAGACCCCGCATCAAGAGACGCCCTTAATTTCTCCTTTCTAATGTGAAAAGTCAATGTCAAGCCAGGAACCTTTTGCCACTTGAGGCATTTAGGGAGGATCACTTGAAAATTGTGAGAATGATCAATTTATAATCTTGCATTAGCGGGTATCAAATTTCTGGGGCCGCACTGCTTTGGAGAAACATAAAACTCTTAGCAACTACCTCAATTTCAACTAAAGATCTCAGGAACTCCATCATGTTAAGGTTCTCTCTACAGCAAACAAGAAACACAAACCTTTTGCCCTTTGGTTGTGTTGTTGGTTCAGGCATATCATGTAAGTTAGACTAAATCTCTCTGCTCTGGTAGAAGTCGTGAATTTGGCAGTCAAGAAGAAGATAATACACCGTTGCAAACCAAAATAACTCTTCATGGATGGTGAAATTAATTCTTTATATGCAAACATTATCATGCTGCTCGACATAACTCTTCATGCATGCCATTAATCTATGTTGAGGATAAACAATCACCCGCCCAAATTGTCTTCTGATTAAAGTGTATAGCATTCTACATGTATCAAGTCCTTTCAATGCAAACAGATTATTGCATAGACTGAAAAGATAAGAGAACTGAAATTCAGCATAGTGAAGCTTTACTAGTACCTTGAAAAAGTTGATGCTGGAAGGAACACATGCACAAAGGCAGCAAAATGAGAAGTCGGTAAGTCTTGCATATAACATGTAAAAAAGAAAATGCAATACACTTTTTGACAAAGCTCTTCAGGTACCTTTCGAGAGGATTATGCCTTCCACGTGTCAAGTCAATCCTAACATTGCTTACAGCGATATCCTCTTCTTTTAGGGTTACTCCAGTATTTTTCTGTTAAATCGAACTAGTTAAACTCTACTATATTGCTCGCTTGGTGTTGCCAACAGAAAAGAGCTCATTCCCATATTTCACCAATCACCCAGTTAAATCTGAACAAGACCTGAGAACAAGCAATATCTTGTGCAGTCACGTCCTTAAAGTGCTCCAATTTGTCCTTTGGAACAGCATATTCATTGCAAAACTTCCACAGAGAAATCAATACTCAAATATGACAATTTCACAGGTAAAAGCAGGAGAGCAGATTGGCCACTTGGACATGATTGTCTATCTAGATTTGGTGCAGAGTACAAGAATCGATCAACTAGAGCACCTACCTGGTACAAATTCCTCCTACGGATCCGCAGCATCAAATCCCTAGATTCATTAAGCTCTGAGTCTGGAGCTGTCTCAATAGTTTTTATTGTAGGGTCGTCTAACTGCAAAAGAAAAATGCATCTTCTAAATGCTGGCAATCGACTATGTATCAATCGGAAACGAATGAAAAACTCAAGAAGACCTTCCAATATTCACAAGGATCATGAATGCAAGATGATATATGTAGATAATCATTTGCCTTCACCAAAGCATCTACCAACATAAGCTCTACTGCCTTCAAGATCGAAACGTATCAACTCAAGAAGCTGGGAGAGAGAGAGAGAGAGAGAGGGCTCTATCAATTGAAAGAATCCACGTTAGCACATACCTTTACTTTTGGGTGTGTGTAGGCTGTTCGGTAGAGATCAGCACGAGTTGCAAAAATCTTGTGGATGGTAAGATCTAACAAATTTTCCAATGATCATAAGATCTAACAGAGCTAAGCATAAAATGTAATGATATTACAGAGAGCTGGACAAAAATACTTACAATCCTTGGCGCGGTAGCAAATCTCATCACCCAAGACCCGCATTGACTCCATCAACCTTTTAGATAAAAAAGTTCGAAATTGAGAAGATATATTCTGCAATTCTGCTTATAAGAATGCCGATTAGTAATAGGATTCAACAGATACCTCTGAAACTGAAAGTTGCATCCTAGACCACAAGCTCGGCAGTCTCTCGCAATGTAATCGAACCTGCAAATGCATGTAACTCCAATATAGAAACAAAATATTCAACAAATGACTCAATCAAGTAAAAGTTCTTGCAGATCATAAGGGATCTTACTTGTCCACGTCGATCCCATTTCTACCATTTGCAACAATATCATACAGAAAAAGCTTCTCCTTCTTGCCCTGCATTTACAGTTTGCAACGTTATCAGTCAAAATATCTATAGGCATGTGAAAATGAAAATTGTACGACAATAAAGTATTAGGAATCTGCCCAAATGCCGAAGTCCAACCAAAACGTCACCTTGGGTAGTGAATGCTCTGAGCTGGCAAGTATCATCTCCTGCAGTAAAAGGCAAATAAAACCTTACATCGGCAATTTTTGTGCACTACAGAAAGACATCAATAAAGAAAGCACAAATGTGCTGCAGTCACCTGTATACAATGCGTGAGAAGTAAAAGATATCCATGTATGTTCAGTAAGGTTGTATTCACAGTACAAAAGTATATAGATAATCAGCTGCGAGGACTTGCAAACATGCAACCATCAAGCTAATCTGTGAAATATTTACCTCTAGAACAGAACTCAAGTCACCAACAAATCAGAAGACATTTTGCACAAGATTCTTGTTCCATTTTGCTTTGTGAAATCTTTATCTCCAGAACAGAACTCAAGTCACCAACAAATCAGAAGACATTTTGCACAAGATTCTTGTCACATTTTGTCCAAACCTTCTGAATGAAATTTTAAAGCAGATCCAGAAAGAGATAACATTATAGTGTAATGCACCAGACAATGAAATTTTAAATCAGCTGATGAGCTGGTGAAGCGATCGAGACTTTGATGTGCAAGTCTTTCATTACCATTACCCATTTTGGCACTAGGAATACTTTCTCTTATCCTCACGAATCGGACATTAACATGCCATTTTTCATTGTTGTATTAGTGCTGTTTACTTTCTTTGTTGGAGTCATAGGAATTCCCTTTCCTTTTAATCAAGAAGGAATTCATTTGGACATATAATCCAAATTGTTAAATCCGTCTATAAATTTTTTACATCGGAATTCAAATAATTTTGTCAATTGGTATGAATTTGTGACAAATGCAAGTTTTCTGTCCGTATAGCTTTTTTCGGAATATTTATAGCTTCTTTTTTTTATGTACTCGCACTTACATATCGCTCGATGGAGGCGAGTTTTTATGCTCGATTTGCACCTGCGGTGAGACCTCTCTCGAGGTCTAGACCAAAAGGAAGAAATTACTTGGAATCCAGATCATGCTATGGCGTTGGATCCTTAATTTTATGTGGATGTATGTTAAGAAATCAGAATCACCAATATAAGTTTGCTGATTTTAAGAGTGACTTTTCTACCTTAGATTGGATGCATTAATTGTTTTTGTTTTTTTTTTATTTTTGGGTCGATTAAGAAAAGGGTTTGATGTTTAGAGTCTTTAGACGTTGATTATGACCTTGGCGACAGTGCTCGTCCATCATGTGAGCAAGCTTGGAGTCATATAGACAGTGATTCTAGGCCAGTCGGGTAGTGTGGGGCTGGTCCTATTTCGAACTTTTTTGAGATGGACACCTGTAGACAAGCAGTCGCTTTGAGAATAACCGGGGCTAGTTCACATGGATTAAGTTCCCAAAAGAATTAGTATTGCGAGTAATTATAAGAATAAGTGTCGACTTGACATGTATATCACTTAATATAGTTTTTCTCGTCCGTGTAATATTTCGAGATGTTACAATATCTCCTAGTTAAAAAATGATGTCCTTGTTAATGTCAACCCGCACTGCCCAAGGGTACTCCCCTTTTGAGGTGATGAAGAGACCTGGACAAGAATTATCGAGGGCGAGTTTTCATGCAAATTGCCCAGAGCTCGTCTAGACATGTCCACTGATCAGGTCTTTCGATGTTGCCGATTAGCCAATGAACTTCTTCGGCATGGCAGGCCGAGGCTTTTTTTGAGATGGTATGTTGCTGCCTAATCGATCGTTTATATAGAAATTGAAATTGCACGATGAGCGTGCTCCAATCATTATCGCTGGTCTCTTGTTTTGACGATAATCATGAAAGATTCATTGAATATTTGATGTGACATGTCCCTTCATTCGAAGTATTTTCATTGGCATCACATCCTTTGCTCCGTTGGTAGAGAGTCTTATTCAATGTATGCTGGCAGGAAGGTTTATATGCATTAACGAAGGTATTCGAGGCAAAAAGTCGAATCAAATGTACGAAAATTAAATAAATAAAAAAACAAGTGGACTTTTAAGTGTTGTTTATTAAATTCACAGGCTATTATTCATCACGGATGGAGTACGGCTTCCGATTTGTCCTCAATTAAATATACACAAATTACAACGCAAATATATTATTGGGTCTCCTCACATTTTTTTTTATTTCTTGCTTATTTTATTCGCCCTTGAGTGGATTCGATTTAGGAAATTGATATAAACAATCCCTGAACTTTGGTCCAATGAGCAATGTGGTTCCTGAACTTTGAAAATGTTCAATATGGTCCATGAATTATAACCCAACGTGCAATGTGGTCCCTGAACTTTTAATTTGTTCAATGTCATCTCTAAACATTTGGTCCATGTTCAATTTATTCTCTGAACTATATTAAACATTTTCATATAGTTCAAAGACTACATTGAACATGTACCAAAAGTCCAGAGACCACAGTGAATATTAAGTTATAGTTCAGGGACTACATTGAATAAATTAAAAGTTCAGGGACCACATTACACATTGGGCCAAAGTTGAAGAACTATTTGTGTCATTATCCACGTCAGCAATTTTCGGCAAAAATTAACCAGATGGATTCAATTGATAAAATAAGAAAAGATTGAGGACTCAATTGGCATAATTGAAAAGTTTAAAACTAAATTAATACAAATACAATAGTTTTAGAACCTTTTTTTGGTAATTTTCCCCGGGCAAGCAGTCCTTTTAAGAATAGTCGGGGCCGATTCACATGGATTAAGCTCCTAAAAGAACTATTGTGAATAATTATAAGAATAAGTGTCGACTCGACATATATATCACTCTCCGTTAGTTCCACGGAAAACGAATGACTCAAAAGATATTTTCCTAAATATAATCGTTTGTATTGATTGAAATAATTAATTAATGAAAAATATTTTTATTATCGACAATATGTTGAGCCTATACATTTTCTAGACAATGAAAATATTTTTCGTTAATTATTTTTTTAATATCAATTCTCTCATTCACACGTAATTTCGAGATGTTATAGACTCTCCTACTTAAAAGATGATGTCCTCATTGATGTTGACCATAGGATTTCGGCATGTCACATCTTTTGACGTACCGGTCCCTCCAAGAAACTCACCGATATTCAAGATCTTGAAGGGGCCTCGACAAGAATTATCGAGGGCGAGTTTTCGTGCAAACCGCCCAAAGCTTGTCTAGGCTGTCCATTGATCGGGTCTATCGATGTTGCCGATTAGCCGATGAACATCTTCGACATGGCGGGCCAAGGCTTTTTGAGAAGGTATTCCACTGCCCAATCGATCGTTTATATAAAAGCCCAGTACAGATGCATCCAGATGGAGATAAGGCCCATCTAAGGCTTTGTGACATTCCGCTTTAGCTTGGGAATGGCCTCAAGGACCACGTCTTTACCAATTCCCAATCGCCATTTGCGCGCAGCTACTTTCTAATAGTCTCAACACGCGGACGAATTTTACGGGTGAATAAGGGTAAGGGGTCACCTTATTAATTTGATCCCGAACGACCCTCTTAAGTGACATTCTCACAATTGATCATTCTTTACAAATTCAACAAAGGTGTAACTCGGACCGTACATATGAATCGTAGAAAATAAAACGAATCGTAGCTTGGCTAGTTGAAGTACCAAAAACCTAGCCTCATGCACAACATCCCCCCCCCCCCCCCTTCCCCTTCTCCCTCTTCCCTTGGGTCAACTATCTCTCTCTCTCTCTCTCTCTCTCTCTCTCTCTCTCTCTCTCTCTCTCTCTCTCTCTCAGGTTGCAAGCGCCATGGGGAAACTCGAATCAAGACCCCCCACTGCTGCCGCCGGCGACAAGGGTTGTGGCAGCAGAGCGAGGAGTTGGAGTTTGGGCTTTGTTAAAAAAAAAGGTTGCAAGAATAAGAGGAGGGTCATTTTTTGAAAAAAAAAATAACAATTTCGGGAATGAAAGTTCGATTATATTGAGCCGAGGGGGCAAATCCGTAATTTTGAAAATAAACGCATGCTTTGGATATTGGAGTGAAGATTAGTTACCTTTTATGTATGTTTTTTTCTAAATAATAATAGAGGATGTGCTCATGATAGCCGAGCTAGCTAGCCCTATCCTACGTGTATCTTATTCTTTCCCCCCCCCCCCCCCCCCATCGACCTGGCCACATCCACATGTGAAACTACATGATTTTGCAATGAACCAAACATAGATTGATCACATACTATATGGTCTCCCGCCCCAATTTTTTCCTTGGGAGAGAGAGAGAGATTTTGAGGGCAAAAGACATTGGGATTGCTACATGTACATGGACATGACAGCTGACAGGTGGTCACTGTACTTGGCCACATTTGGTGGGAAGGAAAGGAGAGGTAGGAATTAGCCAAAAGCACACCACTACCTTATGGCTTATGCCCCCACTTTATCATATCACTGGCCTTTTATCAGCCATACAACGCATCACAACATGTAGCTTTCCAATCTCACTACTCACCACATCACATCCCAAAAGCTGAGTTGTTCCTCTCCTTCTTCTTCTTCAGGTGCTTCCTCCTTTTCTGTCTTAGCTTTCCACTTTCACTCTCAACTCCTCTCTTTCTCTCTCTCTTGCCCCCACCTTTAGCTAAAGCTCAAAACTTGCTAAAAAGGAAAAAGCAAAAAAAATCTACAAGCCTTTTTTCCAGTCAAAAGCACCACCATTTGGGTATCCTAACTTAGCTTTGAAGGAATACGTATATTAAATTCATTAATTTAATGTTATTTTTGGGTGTGAGAGAGATGCAAATGGGTGAGTGACATGTTTGATTGCAAGTGGAAGGCTCATTTTACTACTATCCCTTTTCTAAATGTGGGATTTGTGCCTCCCTATGCTTTTTAGTGATTCCAATCTTTGCCGAGGTGTCCAAACCTATGCATCCCAATTGGAAGTGCTTAGCTTGTGTGGGTTATGATCTTAAGTCACGAAGGGGGATGTGAAGAAAATACGCACATAACCATGTACGTCTATACCATATTACTAGTCATACATGTCCTAAAAACGGTAATTGATTTGACTAACACTGCACATACTTTATATATTCGCAACGAGGAAGCACTCTCGGACAGATGAATCCGGTCCATAAAGTACCTTATCGCCTCGTAAAGAAGGCGA